GGACCGGCAGTGAACTTTCCATGGGGCTGGCATTGGTCTTTCGGACCAGCACTGGAATTTTCGTTTGGCTGGCGTTGGTCCACGGGACCGACAGTATTATAAAGTTCAAAAATAAGTATAGTCTCAATGAAATGTGATCAAATTTAGCTTTGATTAAATGTATTGAAACATTCTAAAAAAAATACGGCTCGCTGCCGGCTGAATGGAAAGTAGAAAGTACAGCAAATTCGGCGCCATGCTCAACGTGTTAAATTCATTTTGCCCTTCATTTATTATTCCCATTAAATTGAGTTGCCAAAACATGCTTAAATCATCTGACACTGAGGTATTCCCTACCATTACTGTTAAGGGCTTCGAATCATTGCCTTCCTTTTCTTTATTTTTTTCATTTCCCACTAATAGCCATCCAGAAATGGAATTTATAGCTTGGATGTGTTTATTTATGAGTTTCCGACTTGTAAGTTCTACATCCCAGAATCAGTCGGCCCCAATTAATATTCCCACATGTTGTAATTCTTCATTGTTGTTTACACTTATCTGCTGAATGTAAACCTAAGCGCTTCATTTTTTCGGGCATGTTATGTCTGGGACTTTTTATGGGACAAGCTGATATCGTGTTAGTCACTAGGCATTCCAATTTTATTTTGATTTCTATCTCCTAATTTAATTACAACGACAGGATAATTCTGAACTATTGGTTTCTTAGTTCCAAACGAAAAAAACCGACAATTTTTCATTTCGAATGGGTTCTAATTTTCAAGATCTCGCTAAGGTATCTTTAACAAACGATCTTTCGCTACCTTGATTAAGAAGAATATGAACAATTTTAGTTTAATTTTCATTGCAAGCTAAAACAGTACATGTTTGTAATAAATATTACACTTTATTTGTTGTATTTTTTTAAACAGAAATATTACACTGAGAAACCAAAGTGTTAGTATTAACATTTGAAACTAAAGGTTCCTTTTCCAAACTCGTGGCAATTGATTCATTTTCAGATAAATTACATAAATTTGATTTTTCCTCATTATTCCTCATTACTTTTCAAACAGATAGATTCATGATGATTTTTTGCCATTACATTTGCTAGATACATTTTTATCTTTGCAAAAATGACTCAAATGAAATTTCTTGAAACATTTAAAACATCGATTATGCGCGTAAACATAACATAAAATATTTATTTTCTTAGTTACCCCTTTACAGCATTTAAAAGAATCGTGGTGTTTCTCACAGAAGATGCATACTCACTGTACTGTAGTGTTAAATGCACTAGCCATGGGTGTATTTCTGTTATGTCTTTTATTTACAGCTTTCTGATTATAATAATTAGTAAACATTTTATTTTCATTGCAAGCCACTAAAGTCCTTTCGCGACATTCAACCTCCTCCTTTAAGAATGAAATGGATTTTGAAATGTCAACGTTGCCTTCATTTTTTTGCCTTGTAAATTTAAAAATTAGACCATTAGACAAGATTTTTTGCAAAATAGGAAGTAACAAATGTCCGAAAGAGCCTGATGTAACATTTATTCTTCTAAATTTCGAATAGAGATTTCAAGCTCATCATAAATTCTGCGTAACACTGAAACATTAGAAGAATTTTTAACTTCTTTCAGATTTAGTATATTATTCATGAAGAAATTTATAATGATATCTCTTTTCCCAAACCTATCTTTCAAAATTTTTACGCAGTTGTCATAATTATCATTAGATAATTCAAATCCTGAAACAACATTGGCAGCTTGAGCAGTTAAAAAGGTATTAAGATGCGTGAATTTGTCAACTTTAGAAATGCTTTTGTTTTTATCAATCATACTTTCAAAGCTATTCCAAAAATTTTGCCAATATTTCGGATCTCCGGAAAATTTTTCAATTGCTAACTTTGGCAATTTAACTGAACATTGATTTCTTAAATTATCACTTAAAGAGACATTCGTACTTTGATTATGTGAATCACTTGAAGCTGACTCAATCTTAGTTTTGCTTTCAAGGTAACGTAATATTCCACTTGAGTATTTCAAAGATTTTTGCTTTATATTTGTGAGTTGCAGCGCTCTCTATAGGCAAGTCGTAACATGCGTAACACATGTGTTTAAGTGTACATGAATTTGTAGTTTTGAAGTTCAATGATTTTCCCCCCTCTGATTAGCATGGAGGTAGGAAGTAAGATGGAGTAGCCCTAAACAAGTTTCTCCCATACCCTGCTCTGATGCACCTGCGATCCCTACGTGGTGACCAAAACATTGGGTCATTTAGCATTGAGTTCAATGGGATTTTGATGCATTCGGATGTAAATATTTTGTAATTACATCGTAAATATACATATAAATGTATATATTTTCTTTTTCTACAACACTTCAGAGTCCTAAGTATATGAAAACAACATATTTTTAAACAACATTTCATTCTGAACGGAATTAAATGCTATACTTTTCACAGGACAGTTTTCTCAGAATGGTTTACTTTGAATGAAATATTTTCACAAGTTTTCATTAATTACATTAGGAAAAAAAATTAAGGTAATTCATTTTTATTCAGTTAAGGTACAAAAATTAAGATCAAAGTTTATTGTATTATTAATATAAAATTATGCATTATTTCTTTTCTTTATAGAGCTTCTTTTTAAAATACTTTCTTAAATATGACATGATTTTTTGCCTGCTGAGGCATCTTTTAAATCGAAAAAATGTAAGTCAATTAATAATTAATGCTCTATTGGTTCATTTTAAATTAGAGAATTATTAGGAATTAGCGAAATACTTTTTTAAATAGTACTTGACTTTCTCTGAACATTTCTGAAAGGGAATAAAATAAGTTTTTTTTTAAAGTATTATTTAAAACTTGTAACTGAGTTATTATAAAATGTAAGGGGAATAATTCTTTTAATTATACTTATCAGATTTTTTTTTACCCTTCGTTTCAACAATACATATTCCAAAACTCTTTATTACGTTCTTAAGTGCGCATCTCATAGCATTTGCTTTACAATACCTTTTAACAGATTGCTTTCCAATGCGAACAATTCTTGCTTAAATAGTTTTATAACATATTTGTCAACAGAATTTCAGTTTATGTTTACAATTCAATATTAAGGTTATTATATATTTAGATAACATTTATAATCATTATAAATTAGATACATTTAATAATTAGATTTCTTCACAGTACTTTCACAGTTGTTTATAAGTGAATAAATTCTTCATTTCAAATACATTTATAAGTAATTTAATGAATATTTAAGTATTTTGTCAAAGGCAGATACATGCTTTTTGCAAGCACATGCATAAATACCCATACATGTTTCCTATTTTTCATTACCGGCATGTGCAAATCTTTAATTTCTGTGCATTCACTAATCTGTGCATAATTTTCGTGTTAAAACGATGGGTTTAAAATGAGCAGCAGTAAAGCCTGTCCTCTAAAAAATTTTAAAAGGTACATGTTACAATAATATATGGATGTGAAAAAAATTTGTTTCATTTAAAACATTTTGGCGTTTGGAAAAAATAAAAGTAGCGAATACTCTATCAAGGGTATCGAAAGACGTATACAATTTTAAATGTACCGTAAGGTATTTTTCTTCTTTAAGCATAACATTTTTCTTAAAATCTATATTTTTGTAGTGCAACAGCTTAGAATTTTATAAAACAAATTCATAATCAAAATCGCTGTTGTTAGTTATCGAAAAATGACCAAGATGTGATTTTTGCGTAAATGTCAGTAAACTATACAAATTGCTATTATCCATCACACTATGAATGTTTCTTTCATGCGAGAGTGTCCCTTTTTCTATTTCTATGGAACTGTCGTGTGTCGAAATACTATCAGAATCCTGTCAAGCGAGCTTCCGAATGTAAACAAAGAACACCCTATCTGGTGACCCAAGCTTCAAAGCAGTGCTTCACTTCTAGCGCCGGTTAGCCCCTCCTTCCTTTCCTACCTCCATGCTGATTAGTAATTTTTTCCCCCATTGAGTGTTTTTTTTTATCCCCTGTGATGAATTATGATTCGACAATTTTTAAATGTGAATTAAAGTTCGCATATTAAGTTCAAAAAATTGTTTTCTGGTTTTAAATCAGTTTTCTCTTTCTTACGCTAATAAAAAATGGTGCTCTTCTGTTATTAAGACAGGATTCAGAAACACATGTAAGGATGGATGGATGTGCATAATATATTCATATGTATACTGCGTGAAAAAAAAAATGGTACAGTTCTATATCTCCCGTTCTACTGGGCTGATTGACAAAATTCAAATTGCATTTTCCATGTCTCGAAAATGTGCCTTAGGATATGTGTTAGATTTATATAAAGCTTTGTTCTGACATAGGTATTTTGACACAAAATCAGACTTTTTATGAAATAACATACCAATTGTTCAAATTATGCCTAGATATTAAATTTTGTAATTTTTTGGTGAGAACTTTTTGGAGAAATTTAAAAATTTATCCTGGCAATTTTTTTTTTTTTTTTAGTTTGCTCCAAGAATAGTTCACTTAACGAACCGTAACCTATTTTCCTTTCCTTTTTTTTCATTATCCACGAGCAGAAAAAAGTCATCATTCTTACTTTCAAATAATTTTAATAACGTGCATATGCCACATTTTCGTTCATCATCGCTTATAATAAATATGCCAAATTTCAAAATGCACAGAAATGTAAATTCACGTATATCTTAGGAAATTTTGAATAAAAAACTCTAATTTTTTTCAGGTATGCCTAAAAGTATATCTACTTTAAGATGATGACCAAACTTTTATAAGGTTATAATTCAAAATATTTATCAAAAAATTTATTCTTTAAAAAGCAGAATGTTGTCTTTTGTTTAGCAATATTGATTTAATGTTATTGTGTTTAGCAGGAGAAAAATTAAGTTCAACTAATTTTGTTTTGATAGAACTATTGTAATTTTGCAAGTTTTGTAAGATTATTTAAAATTTTATTATGTTAAGTAAATAAATTTCAGAATATTCAAGTAAATCATGATAAATTTTCATTTCTAGCACTGAAGAAAATAATCAAATGCCAGATACACTTCCTTCTGTTAATCCTGTGCCTGTCTTTCAAACAACTGCATCTTCATCAGTTAATCATATAGAAGAAGATAGTCCTTTGATTGAAAAGCAGAAGCCAAAGGTAAGAAAGGCATTATTTTATTTTTAGTTTGAGTTAATAATTTTAATGCAGATATTTTGCTAAACTAACAGAAACAAAATATTGAACTTCAAAATTATTATGTTGATAATATGCTTTAAGCACTGAGTACTGATAAACTCTTGTATAATACAAATATAAATACTATCATAATCATTCTTCAAGTATGCAATTTTATATAAAATCTCTGATTAGGAAATTACACTGGTGAAAATCAGTTAACACATTGACTGCCAGTCTCTAGAGATGGGGTTGATAGTTATTGCCTTGACATCGAAGTAGATTGTACCCAGAAGCCAACATACTAATTATTGGAAATATGATTTAAAATTATTAATGAAATATGATTATTTTATATCTAAGTATTATTTAAACATTTCCATATGGAATTTCTTAACTGGGCGCCAGCGCGTGATTGGCACTGCACAACAATTTTTTTCCCAAATGCCACATTATGCGCTGGCGCATGATTTGCAAAAAGTGAATCAAAATAAGTAAAATAAGTGACAGTATGCATTATTTTTATATAAATCTCTGTTACAAACATATATATTACAAATGAATTTATTACATGATAATTATAATGGTATTATTAATAAACTTACATTTTAGAGTGTTATTTGTGTGTAATCTTAGAACAATCTAGGCAGTATCCAGGAGATCCTTCGCAAACTTTGCACACATATATGGTATCTTTTCGTTTTCCTTCCAAATAACAGCTTTTACACTGCTTTCGCAGTATTTTTCCACCTTTTTTCCTCTTCCCGCGTTTTTAGTACATGCTCCGATTCAGATGGATGACACACAGAAGCACGATGAACAGATGGCTGTTTCAATAAGCATCTTATCACGGATAGACGATAGTCATAAAGTGACATATTTCTATTGGAATACTTGTTGTAGATAAAGTGGGAATTGGACATCATTATTTGCAAAATATGCACAAAAATTTTCGTGGGCCACCTAATCGTTTTTCTTTCACAATGATAATAAGCAAGCATCTGGTCTTGCTTATCAATACCTGCCATAAATTTATTATACTGAATTACAGGTAGTGGTTTTGTTTTTAACTTCACCTCTTTGTTTGTTTGTTTTTCCACCATATCATTTTTATATTCATTGGAAATATAAGTGACGTCTCTCTTATCCTTCCACTTAGCAATCATCACACCATTAGTATATTTTGCTACAGTTTGCCCTTTCTTCAGTTTTTTTTCTTTTACCTCTTTCAGAAATGTCTTCCTGTTGTTTTAATTGTCCCAGTACAATGAGTTTTTCTATCAGAAAGACATTTTGCCAGTTCATAGCTGTTATAATAATTGTCCATAAATACGCTATGCCCTACATCCAACATTCCCTCAAGTAAATTCATTACGACTTTCTGTGCATGTCCTTTTCCACCAGAATCATCCAACATACCTGTATATATCATAAATTTGAGAATCATACCATCAGGGGTTGTGATCATGTACAGCTTGATACCATATTTGTGACGTTTATTTGGTATATACTGTCTAAATATAAGTCGTCCACGCCATAATACCATCGACTCATCTAAACTAATCTCTTGTCCTGGGTAATATATTTCAGATACTCGCGCGTTGAACAAATTTACCATACTTCTTATTTTATATAATCGATCCTTTGGAATTTCTGTATTCTGCTCTGGAATTTTTTGCGAAGTGCAATGCCCTCAGTAATAATAAAAACCGATTCCTGCTCATGTTTTCAGAAAACCAAACAGTGAATCGGTTTTCCAATAATCTTGTATGCGGTTGATTCATATAGTTCCCATATGTAAGATCAATCCCACAAATGTCAAAAGTTCCTCTTTTGTAGTGTCTTTCCAGGCATTGATTTGTGAATGTTTCTTTTTTTCACGGTGAAAAGGTACTTTATGAGCATAATCATTAGTTTCAGAAACTACTTCCTCCAAGATACTGTCGGTGAAAAAATGCCGAAAGTAATCTGTAGGATTGTTACCTGAAACAGTTTGGAGCAAACACTCGGATTTTATGAAAGAAAACTGCTTGATGGATGTTGAATCGTTTTCCCAAGTTAAATTTTCCATTATAGCGGAATTATCGCGCTGACATGTTGCACTTTGAACGATTTGTCCATCATCTTCATCTTCAGAATCCGAAATATCATGGGCATCATTGGGAGGAATGAATTCTTCGTCATTGTCACTGTCGTAGCCGTCGTAACTATAATCACTCGGGTACTCATCCGATAGCTCAGCCAACAAATTTGCAATTTCATCATCCGTTAAATTCTTATTATTTTGAACTTTTCTTTTTTTGGGGCGCGAAGGCCCTGCACAATTATCATCTGTATAACTCATATCACAAGAAGATTATTTTTTCAATCAAAAATTAAATATTAAATTCGAAACCACGATTATTTACAGATAGTTTCTAATCATAACTACATGCCAATACCAGCAGAAATACCCTGAAAGCAATGCCAAATGAACTAGAGAATGAATAATCAGAAGTGGATTTTCCCGTGCCAGCGCGTGACTGGCTATTGAGACATCACCCCATATCACGCGCTGGCGCGTGATTGGCTTTTCGGCGATAGCGCCACGCCATGCACAAGCGCGTGATAAGCAGTCAATGTGTTAAGGAAAATAAGACCAAAGTTGAATATAAATGATCTTTTAAAATGATAAGTCGATTGCTGTATTAAAACCCATTTTATAATTGTACTGTTGGAAATGGAGAAGATTCTTTAAATGTCATTGTGCCCCAAAAATCTTTAGCAATTTGCATATAATGTTATCAAATAATTATGGGATAGTTTTCTATTTTTGCTCCTTTTTTTAATGCATGTGGTGTTGTAATTTCAAAAATAAAAAGGTGCTTTCATTGTTAAACTATACTTTTATCAATTAAGAAAGTATTATGCTTGCATACAGACAAATATTAATGCTTATACTGCTCCTAGAAACATGTGTAAGAGAATGTAGGGGAATTTCTGTTCTTTTCGTAATGTAGCTGATTTGCTGCAAAAGCTATTATTATTGTTGGAAATATCCATTATAATTTGAAAGGACTATTATGCACGATGAGCTTAATAATCCTTTCAAAAATTACACGTCGTCTTCTCTATGTCAATTTCTATAGAAAATTCACTGAAAAGATTCTGTAAAATTTAATCAAGTTAAAGAACTATTATTTTCTCCTTAACAGTTTTTGAATAGTGAACGCCTGTGTATTTTAATTTATGCATGGATATTTAAAGAAACTATTTTAAGTTTTATTTTTTAAATTTGTTTAGTAAAAATTTTTTCCCTTATGTCAGGTGTTATCACACAATATACTGTGATAAACCATTTAAAGATAACTATCATGTTTCTAGGTCTTCTTTTGAGGTCTTCTGTACTAAGTGCAATCTTAAAAGAAGTGATATTCGACACTGTTTACACACACACACACACACACACATATATTTATAAGTAGAAAGTAGTAAATCATACAAATGTGAGACCTAGTTGGTCAAAAACTGTGCGTTGAGGCAGCAAATTTTAAAATAGATCTATAAGAAAAGGAGAGATTAAAAACTAACTAGAGCTGTAAAGAACATTTGAACTTCCTAATTTCTGATATTACGTGTAAAACAGCATTAAATCATCTAAATCAAAGTTAAATAAAGAATTGTATGCGAAAAAAACCTATCCAATTTACATAAAACAGAAATATTGTACATATAAAAAAACCTGGTCAATCTTCTCTGTTCAAGGCTTCAAGCAAAACTTTTCAAGGGAAAAGGGCTTGAATCCCTCAACCAAGTTGATTAACCTACTAAAACATACAAACACTTTTTGTCAAACAAATATATTGAGACTAAAAATGGCTTTCATTGTAATTAATTTTTTATTCATGTACAGTACAAAGTCTTTAATCCAGACTCGTCGGGACTTCAGTGTTTCTGGATTAGGGGTTTTTCCGGATTATAGATCATCAATTTATATCTGGTAAGATGGTATGCAGAAATTATAAAATTAAAAATATGAAACCATAATTTATGAAATAAAGAGCAATTATGATCTAAAGGGTATCAAAATTTACAAAAAAAATAAGCTTAATATTTATTTGTTTACTTTATTAAACATTTCTTTCAATGTAAGTTGTTTAAGTTGCTTCATTTTATGTGCTAATACTTTCTCTTTAATTCTATAAAAAGACATAATTTCTTTTTCAGTTACAAAGTTCCGCTGTTCAAGTCCTGTAATTGCTGTGCCGAGAATACCGACTAACTTGTCAATCGAAATTTTTTCATTTTCACTAACCTCTCTGTCACTTTCTTCATGCCTTTATCCATTTTTTGCAGCAATTCCACTTTTTGTTTGATGGACATTGAAACATGCTTTCGCTTTGTACATCCTTTGGCAGCTCCAGAATTGGGAACTCTTTTTGACATAATCGAAAGTTCAAGCTTATTTTTATAAAATTTCTCTAACAGTCTGCAAAAAATAATAAGCCGCATCCAATTAGAAGATTAAGAATGCAATCTGCATTATTAACTGAAATAGATAATTAGATAATTTTAGCCTAGCTTATACCATCCGTCATGCATTAAACGCGCATGCGTAAAAGTTTTATTCGCATGCGTAAACGCTACCCATGCGCAGAAAGTTTGTAGCTTTGAGGTCCGGATTATAGATCATTCCGGATTATGGGCATCCGGATTAAAGACTTTGTACTGTATTACTAACGACGTCTATGGTCTTAAAAAAGAAAAAAGAAAAAAAAAAAAAAAAAATTAATCTAAAAAAAGTAAATTTTTCCATAAAAAAAATCTTTTGTACTGTACGATTCAAACACCCTTTATATGATCAGATCCATATTAGTCATATTTTTAAAAAGCATCACAATCTTCTACCAAGTCGGCAGCTCCAGGTTACTCCTTGTTTTAAGTACGAAAAAACAATAGGCAGTATGATTAACAATCACCACAATATTTTAGCTCATAACAAC